CCAAGGTAGACAATAGTTTAGTAAACACACTGACCCTCATACACTTGCTGCGCGCCACAATGCAGCCAAAGTCGCAAAAGGCCAGTGGGGTTATCTGGGCATGTCGAAACGAGAAGGCCAAGTACGCGATATAGCAGTTTCCGGTTGTGTGCATGATAGCTCTGTCGCGGTTATTATCATTAGTGATGCATATGTCCTTCAGTACTGTTTCCTACCGCTTAAAAATGCTCGATGTCAACATCTTCCGGTTGTTCTTCATGTAGACTATAACAGCGATTACAAGCTCTAGGTGTCTGTCGACAAAACCAGTACATGTATTCAGAATCCATGTCATTGTGTGATCCTGAGGAGTTGAACTCTTCCGACACCCGTGGAGAATACAGTGTAGTAGTGCTGTACTGTGCTGCATCAGCTGTTGTCTGCTGTACATGGACATGTATCATTCTGTACACGCATTGCTCGTTCCACTACATGCCGTCGCACGTTCTTATCGTGTAGTTCAGTTCTCCCTCAGATCGGATTCACACTATGTCATTCACGGCATCCAGAATAGCTCCAGGGCACCGCCATGCTCGCCTGGAATGGTCAGCTACATGTATGTATGTACAAGCATAGAGTCGACCTGCTTTGTACATTTGTATATGGAGGAGCCAGAGAGACCAGGAGACATACAATGCGAGTCACAAAGTCTCCTCCTCCCAAGGATACTGGACCAAAAATTCAAGGACTAAGGAATTCGAGCAGGAAGCCTGCATGCATCCTTCATGCCCCAACGAGAAGCCCATGGATGTCAACTTTACCAAACTGCTCCCGGCATTCCGTTTCTTAGGAGGCGCCGCTGGTGACACTGTAACAGTGTTACCTGCTGTTCACACTCCTATCCCCTCTATCCACGGCCCTTCGGCCTATCACCTACCATCCCGCCTATCTAGTTGACACCTTTACATCATAACCCTGTGCAGTACGAATAAAGATGATTCTTTTCCTCAACCCGCAGTAGCCGGTTACACTGGTAGCAGAGAGGATGATTTCCATCGACCTGACTAGTACTGGCCTTCCGCTCCTGCTGACCGTCATCGCCGTGACCGCGTACCTGGCTCTACAAGAGTTGCGACGACTCGTGGCCGCCATCACTCCAACTCCTGCGAGACCATTTCAAGTCCCATCCAGCACAGGGCTAAGCACCAGAGAACACCCTCGCGATAATATTACCAAGCGCCATGTCAAGGAGCCCCCAGCATTTCACGGTGAGGCAGATTTGTTTCGGGAGTGGGCATTTAGCATGGACTTAGCTATAAAAGCCATAGGATTTGCGACACAGGAGGAAGAAGTTACTTATGCCTCGAGTTTTCTTGTGGGCAATTTCGTGATTACAGCGAATCAGAGTCCATGTCTCTGTTTAAACCCATACAAAAAAATTGATCTTTTATAGTATATCGAATAATTTTCGTTGATAAGGAACCACCATATCTCTTCATCTTGTGGGGCGGCATGTTAACTACATTGCCCGTCCGGCAGTGCAATGTCTCACATATTAAACCAATCATACTGTCATGAGCTACATGTCGTGTTGCTTGTATGGTGTGAGGGCATTTCGGTTATAAAGAACCTGGCCTATAGAGAAGTAATTCTCCTCTACAATGGTGTTGGTTATATCAGCAGTTGACTTTGCTATGGTCAAAACAGTACTATCTATACAGTATGGATGCTGTTCACGTTATGAGGTCACCGCTATACACAGGATACTGCATTAATGGAAGAAAACATTACAAACACTGGTACTACTACCTTGAACGTTATTTTCAACACAATCAACACACACGCATACACACACACGCACACCCCCCCCCCCCACACACACACAAAACACCTTTGACTTTTTGACGCCTGTGGCTGGAGGCGATGGTAGCGGTGCTACGGCAGAAGCAATAGCAATAGCAACTTGTGCGGGGATTGCACCATTCAACAGCTTGCAAGGCTGAAGAATTGACCTCAACTATTCAGCCTCAGTGGTCCACACCACACAGGTATGAAGTGGGTTTTTGTAGCCACACCACACAAACACACGCACACACACACACACATACACAAACATACACGCACCCATGCACACACACACGCACATACATGCACGGGGCGTGCATGCGCGCGCACGCACGCCTGCGTGCACACGTGCGCAGGCACGCACGCACACACACAGACACACAAGCACCATGTACCATGTACACCAACCACGTGAGTCGACAGAATCAGTACAAGGAAAACGTGATGTCGATGTGAACAATTCTAACTAACTGTTGCATAGATATCCTAATCATATGATTAATGTAAAGAAGAGAAGAAACACATGAGAACGAGTTATGCAGCAACTATCCACGACTGTAAAAAGATAATAAACGGTCAGAAAGTGCGATAATAGGGCACAAAACTGACAGGCTACTGACTCAGTACTGAGACATTCAACGACCCGAGATCTAGCTCTAGCACATCTCCAGTCCGCAAACCAACAACCTTCCAACTTGGAAGGTTCATGGATACGTAGGACCGAAGAGGGGAATATGATTTATCTGCTAGAAAACAATCTAACAAGTAAAATGTTAAAAAAATCTGAACTATTACAGCCTACATATAATGTATAATGAACTCAGATGGAGAGCCAAGGATTAAAACGATGAGGAAAGAACCAAAGCAAAAATATATCCACCACTGGATACAAATGGCATTCTAGCAATTGCAAACGTTCTTTTCTGAGATACCCGGGTTAATAAACACCGGGAACCAGAAGCTACCTAAGAATAACTGGTGTGGAATAACTGTTGCGGCATCTACCTAATCCATTAAAGAAATCGAAGTACAGTGGTATAAAATACGTGAGATGTGTTCAGTTCATGTGAGAGTGCTGTAAGATAGAACACGTTACCAAGCAAGGCGGCGGATGAGTGGAGGAAAACAAAATTCTCAATGAGAAGTGTAGAAAAGGCAACTGAAAATTATTGAGGATGTACAACTAAGGGGTTGTGTTTATGTGTGTGTATGTGTGTGTGTGTGTGTTTGTGTTTGTGTGTGTGCGTGTGTTGGGGAGGAGGGGGGGGGGAGAGAGCAGAGGAGTAGGATGGGATACAAGTTCAGTTTGTGTCACGCTGTGGGCATTTACGTTATGATGCATAAAAAAGTGTGAGCAAGTGACTGATGACAGGTGTCTAACAAGAAACCTTCAAAACACGAAAATCTTGTGAACACCCCAATCGGAAACAGCTACTAAGCCCTCACTTGTCACGCAGACACCCATCGGCTCGTCCAGCTCTCCTTTTCCAAACTCAGCCAGTGGTGTGTAAGTTTCTGCGGCATATACCTGCAGAGAACATGGACAACACTGGTCAGTGTACATGAATTCCACGTATTATAGATGGTTGATGCATGGTGGTGTATGGATGATGTATGAATGATGGATGGATGCTGTATGGAGGATGCATTAATGATGTATGGAGGATGCATGAATGATGTACGGGTGATACATGAATGATGCATGGCGGGTGCATGAATGCTGCGCAACTCATTTATGGATGATGGTATCATGGAAGGTATGGGTTAGCATGGTTAAGCCACACTGGAATATAAGCCGCACTGGGGTATGATCCACACTGGAGTATAAGCCACACTGGAGTATAAGCCACACTGGAGTAGAAGCCACACTGAAGTATAAGCCACACTGGAGTATAAGCCACACTGGAGTATAAGCCACACTGGAGTATCAGCCACACTGGAGTATAAGCCGCACTGGAGTATAAGACACAATGGAGTATAAGCCACACTGGAGTATACGCCGCACTGGAGTATAAGCCGCACTGGAATATATTAGCAACACTTGAGTATAAGCCACACTGGAGTATAGGCCACACTGGAGTATAAGCCACACTGGAGTATAAGCCGCACTAGAGTATAAGCCACGCTAGAGTATTAGCCGCACTGGACTAAAAAGCCCCATCGGAACAATTTGAATTGTTTGGCACCAAATAGAGACATCTTTCTCATTTACTACTGTTGATTTGATCATCGTAGTATAAGTCACACCGGATTCTCTTTGGATGTATTACTGCTAGGTGTGTAAACCACTTTGCTACTTCTGAAGTATGTTTACATTCATTGAAAGATGAATATGCGTCAAACCAGCAACATGGAGACAATTTCGGTAAGGGATTCAGTAACGTTACCTCAAACAACGTCCTCTTACCCCGGCGTAAACTGAATCCACCACAACATGGCACGTATATTTCAAGTACAGTAAAACCTGTCAAGGCGGCCACTCGGATAAGGTGACCACCTGTCCTAGAAGACCACTGCAACCCAGGACCAAATGATACTATTTCCAGTCAATTAACCCTGGATAAGGCGACCACCTGGTAACAGATACCACATTTGGAAGGTCTCTTGAGTGGTCGTGTTAGACTGGTTTCACTGTACAGATGGGCTTCGAAGGCATACTCCTATACAAGTACTTAAATTCTACTTAAACTCATTAGGCATTTCTCTAAATGTCAACATGCAAGCCAAGCATACAGTAAGAACACAGCTACAGTACATCCAAGACTTGGTTGTAGCATTGATGTGTTTCCACTGTATTCCTTGCTCTGTTCTCCAGACATTCAGCACTCCACACAGTCTGAGTATGCATGTACACTAGGTAAACCCTAAAGCATATGTGCCAGAGGTACCATTTTGCAAATCATGCTAGTACTAGTATTCATTGCAAGCTTACATGTGAGACACACTTTTATACAAGAAAGTAGTGTAAGAGTAGAATGTACCCTTGTTTTTTGAACTGTAAGAGCTAATGTACTCTTGCTTTACTAACGTACTCTGTGCATGCAGTGTACTACACTTTCTGTGTTCATATCAGTGCTGTCTGATGATTGTACTGACCATGAATCACAGACTAGCAACAAACTGACCATGCTCCACTGTTGTATATGTACTGGGTACTACTCTCTGCCTGTAGGTATTTAGAAAGAAGAACACGACAACAAGCTCTCCCTTACCATAACACGTCCATTGCCAAGATCTGTGACTAGTACATTGCCATAGGTATCTGTAGTGACATGTTGCGGGCTCTGCAGCTGACCAAACGCGCTGCCCTGAGACCCGAACGAAGTGATATACTCTCCATCGACGGTCATCACCTATTGCAGGAATAAAAAAATTGAACATTCACACACACCACTGTGGTGACAGCAAGAGTATAGATATAACAGGAGTGTAAGAATAATACTCCAACACACAGTGCATAGCTACTATCATTATGACTGTAGTGATGATAAGGTTACTGGTGTGCAACTGTCAAAACTCAAAACCTGAGGTAAAACATGGACCTGGCACCAACATTTGATTACTATGTATGTATTTATTGTAGCACAGACACTGTTTGGTTTGTGACATGATGTATAGACATGATGTTTAAGAGTCTAACTTCACATCAGCCTATACACTCTTACACTGAAACGGACAAGTAACAGGCGAACATGGGTAAAACAAGCAATTGCATGACGTACACATTCATTTTGATTGAAAGAATGTTTTCCTGCCCGACCCTGTCCAGTGTATATTCCGATAGATGGGTTGTCAATACCAGTAAAGTTTCATGCACACCAGACATACAAAAAAGAAACAATATAATTCCAGATCTACATGTAGATGTTGCACTTTCAGTGGATAAAATTGAAGAAGGTGGCTACTCCAAACTTTGGATCTCGGCTCTTGCCAGAGAGCAACACATTTTGCAGTGCTCTCAGAGCACAGATTACAGCAACGTTCTGAAGCTCAGGTGATACAGGGGGAATTCCCCGGAACACTGCATATAGCAGAGGGTGGCGCTTTTTTGCAGATTTTCTGAGTCAAACATTCTACTTGCTGATCATGGTCTCTAGATGGCAGTCATGAGTCAGTCAAGTGTCAAGTCAATCAGAATGAAGTGTAAGCACCAAAGTTTGGAACAACCACCTATAAATACCTGTCACAACGATATAAAGCTGAACTTGCTACTGCTTCCATTGCTGCTGCTGCTGCTGCTGCTACTGTACTAGTTTTAGTAGTAGTTGTTGTTGTTGTTGTTGTTGTTGTTGTTGTTGTTGTTGTTGTTGTCGTCGTTGTCGTCGTCGTCGTCGTTGTTGGTTTGTTGCTGTTGTTGTTGTTGTTGTTGTTGTTGTTGTTGTTGTTGTTGTTGTTGTTGTTGTTGTTGTTGTTGTTGTTGTTGTTGTTGTTGTTGTTGTTGTTGTTGTTGTTGTTGTTGTTGTTGTTGTTGTTGTTGTCGTTGTTGTTGTTGTTGTTGTTGTTGTCGCCGTCGTCTCTGTCGTCATCTTCGTTGTTGCCGTCGTTGTCATTGCGGTTGTTGTCGTATTCGACGTATGCATCATTGTTGACGTTGTTGCCAGATTAACATGATAACATACCTGGATGCGGTGGTTTTCCCGGTCAGCAATAAACAACCTGTTGTGGTACACTGTGATGCCGCTTGGGTATTGAAATTGGCCTTGACCACTACCTTCTGTTCCAAATGCATATCCCGTCTCACCACTGAATGGCACAACCTGTACAGTACCAGTGTACATAGAAGAATATACACCTGTGAGTTGTTGTCTGATGATCGATTAAAACCGTGAAACTCAGAGTTACAGCAGAAACGCTTTTGATTACTCTCAAGTGTGTGTGTGTAAACCTGTGAGATGTGTAATTTTTTTGCACACAACTTACAACTAGATTTGGTGGTTGGGCTGTGACAGAGCTTTATGAAGCTTTCTAAAACACAAACATGAAGTGATGTACCGGTATGCCAATGGAACCCACATGCATATTCATACATACACACGCTCACGCACGCACACACACACACACACACACACACACACACACACACACGCACGCACACACACACACACACACACCTGCACACCTGCACACACACAAATGCTTGCACATACACACACACACGCGCACACACATACATGCACACAAACAATCGTGTACCCACCCTCAAGCCCCCAAACACAAACGCCAGCCAAATGGACCCGCCCACCCACACTCAAACGGCTCCACCCACCCACGTCACACCAATGCCCTCAACCTGCATACCAATGCGCTTGTCCTTTTACGTGCTCATTTCCAAAGCTTGAGCGGCAAGGGATTCAAAGGCATCTTGAGATGATGGATTGGCTATCGATCCATCCAACGGCAGATATCTTATACTGAAATCGACTAACTCTGGATGGACTTCGGGAAATTATTCCACTTATAGGCTCACCGCACATGTGTGAGTGGTTTAGGACATGGTGCAGAAAAGGGTTTGACAACACTTACCCCCCCCCCCCCCAGTGAACGTAATACTGTAATACATGTATAGTAGATGGCAACACACGCAGTCACAATCTGGCTTCAGAGCACCCACCAACAGAACTAGCTGACACACCCGGGCCATCAAACATGCACTCCCCCCCCCCTCCCAACACACACACATGCACGCTTGCCAATGCATAATTATGTTACAATCGACTTCCATCCTAAAATTATCAACTGGGATTGTACTGTGTTAAGAGTATATGATTGATCTGCTGTTACATGATTGAAAACAGTCCCACAACTTGATACTGAACAGTGATATAGGCTAGTTCTATCTTTATGTATACCACAGTACACTGTTAGTGGGTAGGAGAGGGATTTTACACAATACAACTGTACATGTACAGTGTGTACTGTCTGGTTATTACCTGAACCCGATGGTTCCATTCATCAGTCACAGCAAGGCACTGGCCCAGTGCGCTGTGGTTCACTTGGACAACACCAATTGGGGACGCGAACTCGCCAATTCCTGATCCATGCCTTCCTATGGTGCTGAACTCGGAGAAGTCCTTGTCAGTGATCTGCAGAGGGGGCATGGAGATGGACAGGAGAAATCAAGATGATTTAGAAATGGCAAATAACTTCGTCAAATTCTTCGTACCAGTTTTCGAGGAGACAAAAGTATAATTAACGCTATAAGCAGTATTAGTGCCAGAGACATTACCATGCAAGTGAACGCGTTTAGAGTTAAAAAGGGTGTGTACATGTAATTACAGAAACGATTTTCTGCTGCAGTCATCAGTGGACTTTACGGAACTACTTTACTACTTTATGGAACTACTTTACTACTTTATGGAACTACTTTACTACTTTATGGAACTACTCACAAGTTACTGTAAGGGTAAGCGGTGAACATACAAGTAAGGGTAAGCGGTGAACATACAAAGTAAGGGTAAGCGGTGAACATACAAGTAAGGGTAAGCGGTGAACATACAAAGTAAGGGTAAGCGACACACATACAAAGTAAGGGTGAGCGGTGAACATACAAAGTAAGGGTAAGCGGTGAACATGCAAGTAAGGGTAAGCGGTGAACATACAAGTAAGTGTAAGCTGTGAACATACAAGTAAGTGTAAGCGGTGAACATACAAGTAAGGGTAAGCGGTGAACATACAAGTAAGGGTAAGCGGTGAACATACAAAGTAAGGGTAAGCGGTGAACATACAAGTAAGGGTAAGCGGTGAACATACAAAGTAAGGGTAAGCGGTGAACATACAAGTAAGGGTAAGCGACGAACATACAAGTAAGGGTAAGCTGTGAACATACAAGTAAGGGTAAGCGACGAACATACAAAGTAAGGGTAAGCGGTGAACATACAAAGTAAGGGTAAGCGACACACATACAAAGGTTTTGTAGTCGCGTGGTGATACAATAGACACATAAGAGTTGCTGATGAATGTGATAAAACTAAGTAAAACGGCTAGTAAACGAGGTGGTGATCATACAAAGTGTAGAAAAAAAACACTCGTATAAGGCTAGTATACTCGTACTTGTGTGTGGGGGTTTGTGTGTGTGAGGGGGGGGGGGGTGTGCGTGTGTGTGGGGCGGGGGGGTCACGAGTTCTCCCACACCAACAGTCAGTCTGTCTGTGCCACTTTCAGCTTGTTGCCAGCAGCACTGCCCAACATGTCAGCGATACTTCTGTACTGCGGCCGGGTTCAAGCGTCACAACTGCAATTGTAATGCGAGACCATCTGCTGCTGAGAGAGCAGCTCTGCCCCTCAGCTGCCCACATTGTAAACGCAATTTCCGCCGGCAGCAGGACCTAGCCAGACATTCGCGGTCCTGCTTGTGATCCGACTCCCGTTTTCTGGTCCCCTTTTTATAGGGGTGACACTTGCCCATCTGGGAAGTCATGCTGCTAGTAGTAGTAGTAGTAGTAGTAGTAGTAGTAGTAGTAGTAGTAGTAGTAGTAGTAGTAGTAGTAGTAGTAGTAGTAGTAGTAGTAGTAGTAGTAGTAGTAGTAGTAGTAGTAGTAGTAGTAGTAGTAGTAGTAGTAGTAGTAGTAGTAGTAGTAGTAGTAGTAGTAGTAGTAGTAGTAGTAGTAGTAGTAGTAGTAGTAGTAGTAGTAGTAGTAGTAGTAGTAGTAGTAGTAGTAGTAGTAGTAGTAGTAGTAGTAGTAGTAGTAGTAGTAGTAGTAGTAGTAGTAGTAGTAGTAGTAGTAGTAGTAGTAGTAGTAGTAGTAGTAGTAGTAGTAGTAGTAGTAGTAGTAGTAGTAGTAGTAGTAGTAGTAGTAGTAGTAGTAGTAGTAGTAGTAGTAGTAGTAGTAGTAGTAGTAGTAGTAGTAGTAGTAGTAGTAGTAGTAGTAGTAGTAGTAGTAGTAGTAGTAGTAGTAGTAGTAGTAGTAGTAGTAGTAGTAGTAGTAGTAGTAGTAGTAGTAGTAGTAGTAGTAGTAGTAGTAGTAGTAGTAGTAGTAGTAGTAGTAGTAGTAGTAGTAGTAGTAGTAGTAGTAGTAGTAGTAGTAGTAGTAGTAGTAGTAGTAGTAGTAGTAGTAGTAGTAGTAGTAGTAGTAGTAGTAGTAGTAGTAGTAGTAGTAGTAGTAGTAGTAGTAGTAGTAGTAGTAGTAGTAGTAGTAGTAGTAGTAGTAGTAGTAGTAGTAGTAGTAGTAGTAGTAGTAGTAGTAGTAGTAGTAGTAGTAGTAGTAGTAGTAGTAGTAGTAGTAGTAGTAGTAGTAGTAGTAGTAGTAGTAGTAGTAGTAGTAGTAGTAGTAGTAGTAGTAGTAGTAGTAGTAGTAGTAGTAGTAGTAGTAGTAGTAGTAGTAGTAGTAGTAGTAGTAGTAGTAGTAGTAGTAGTAGTAGTAGTAGTAGTAGTAGTAGTAGTAGTAGTAGTAGTAGTAGTAGTAGTAGTAGTAGTAGTAGTAGTAGTAGTAGTAGTAGTAGTAGTAGTAGTAGTAGTAGTAGTAGTAGTAGTAGTAGTAGTAGTAGTAGTAGTAGTAGTAGTAGTAGTAGTAGTAGTAGTAGTAGTAGTAGTAGTAGTAGTAGTAGTAGTAGTAGTAGTAGTAGTAGTAGTAGTAGTAGTAGTAGTAGTAGTAGTAGTAGTAGTAGTAGTAGTAGTAGTAGTAGTAGTAGTAGTAGTAGTAGTAGTAGTAGTAGTAGTAGTAGTAGTAGTAGTAGTAGTAGTAGTAGTAGTAGTAGTAGTAGTAGTAGTAGTAGTAGTAGTAGTAGTAGTAGTAGTAGTAGTAGTAGTAGTAGTAGTAGTAGTAGTAGTAGTAGTAGTAGTAGTAGTAGTAGTAGTAGTAGTAGTAGTAGTAGTAGTAGTAGTAGTAGTAGTAGTAGTAGTAGTAGTAGTAGTAGTAGTAGTAGTAGTAGTAGTAGTAGTAGTAGTAGTAGTAGTAGTAGTAGTAGTAGTAGTAGTAGTAGTAGTAGTAGTAGTAGTAGTAGTAGTAGTAGTAGTAGTAGTAGTAGTAGTAGTAGTAGTAGTAGTAGTAGTAGTAGTAGTAGTAGTAGTAGTAGTAGTAGTAGTAGTAGTAGTAGTAGTAGTAGTAGTAGTAGTAGTAGTAGTAGTAGTAGTAGTAGTAGTAGTAGTAGTAGTAGTAGTAGTAGTAGTAGTAGTAGTAGTAGTAGTAGTAGTAGTAGTAGTAGTAGTAGTAGTAGTAGTAGTAGTAGTAGTAGTAGTAGTAGTAGTAGTAGTAGTAGTAGTAGTAGTAGTAGTAGTAGTAGTAGTAGTAGTAGTAGTAGTAGTAGTAGTAGTAGTAGTAGTAGTAGTAGTAGTAGTAGTAGTAGTAGTAGTAGTAGTAGTAGTAGTAGTAGTAGTAGTAGTAGTAGTAGTAGTAGTAGTAGTAGTAGTAGTAGTAGTAGTAGTAGTAGTAGTAGTAGTAGTAGTAGTAGTAGTAGTAGTAGTAGTAGTAGTAGTAGTAGTAGTAGTAGTAGTAGTAGTAGTAGTAGTAGTAGTAGTAGTAGTAGTAGTAGTAGTAGTAGTAGTAGTAGTAGTAGTAGTAGTAGTAGTAGTAGTAGTAGTAGTAGTAGTAGTAGTAGTAGTAGTAGTAGTAGTAGTAGTAGTAGTAGTAGTAGTAGTAGTAGTAGTAGTAGTAGTAGTAGTAGTAGTAGTAGTAGTAGTAGTAGTAGTAGTAGTAGTAGTAGTAGTAGTAGTAGTAGTAGTAGTAGTAGTAGTAGTAGTAGTAGTAGTAGTAGTAGTAGTAGTAGTAGTAGTAGTAGTAGTAGTAGTAGTAGTAGTAGTAGTAGTAGTAGTAGTACACGTATCGGTTATCATGGGTCAGCTCCGTTGTAAGCTGTCAGTCTGCCTTATGCGATGGGCAGTCACCTGTTTGCGGGGTTCAAGATCGTCATACCGCCGCAACAGGATGAATTTCACGACGATGTGCAGGTTGCGGGCAGCCTGAGCGTGATAGTACCTGACAGACATTTGCCCAACATTGCCCCATGATAATGAATTCTTGAGTTTTTGGACATTGTATTGCATTGCTGCTCCATCTACATGGCTGTATTTGTGTTTCACATCTCCATTTCAAGTTTCCTAATAAAGATTGTGTCAAGTAGTAGTAGTAGTAGTAGTAGTAGTAGTAGTAGTAGTAGTAGTAGTAGTAGTAGTAGTAGTAGTAGTAGTAGTAGTAGTAGTAGTAGTAGTAGTAGTAGTAGTAGTAGTAGTAGTAGTAGTAGTAGTAGTAGTAGTAGTAGTAGTAGTAGTAGTAGTAGTAGTAGTAGTAGTAGTAGTAGTAGTAGTAGTAGTAGTAGTAGTAGTAGTAGTAGTAGTAGTAGTAGTAGTAGTAGTAGTAGTAGTAGTAGTAGTAGTAGTAGTAGTAGTAGTAGTAGTAGTAGTAGTAGTAGTAGTAGTAGTAGTAGTAGTAGTAGTAGTAGTAGTAGTAGTAGTAGTAGTAGTAGTAGTAGTAGTAGTAGTAGTAGTAGTAGTAGTAGTAGTAGTAGTAGTAGTAGTAGTAGTAGTAGTAGTAGTAGTAGTAGTAGTAGTAGTAGTAGTAGTAGTAGTAGTAGTAGTAGTAGTAGTAGTAGTAGTAGTAGTAGTAGTAGTAGTAGTAGTAGTAGTAGTAGTAGTAGTAGTAGTAGTAGTAGTAGTAGTAGTAGTAGTAGTAGTAGTAGTAGTAGTAGTAGTAGTAGTAGTAGTAGTAGTACGTCTACCACCCCGTCTACACCGCTGGCCAGTCAGCCCCAGCCACAGCAGCCGGCACGAGACAACTCCAGTACAGAAGCGGCGCACGATTTGGGCCCTTTGCCGACTGCTCCTGAGGGTCAACCAGACAGCCTGCAGGGGGCGTATGAAGAGTGTGTGACTTGGAGGAGAAATTTGTTTATTGTTCCCTTCGGAGCGGCCGGGAAGCAATTTGTTGAGGAAATTGCACGACTGGTTCGCATATTTTCCGACGCGGCGCCCAACCGTGAACGAGCCTGGACATCAATAGCTGTCGCGTGCCACCTCCTGTTGCAGAAACCGCACGGACAGGGCTCCTCCTCCGAACACGGAACTCACCTGACGCGTCGACTTGCTGTTTGGAAGTCAGGAGACATCAACACCCTGCTGCGTGAATGCCGATGCATCCAGGCGCATCTTCCGGCACACCATACCCGGAACGTCGACCAGTCAGGCCAAATTGACGACACCTTGTTTTCAAAACTCGTATGTTCTGGGAAAACGCAGTCAGCCATTCGGATGGTTTGCTCCAGTGGCTCGGGTGGAGTGTTGTCAATGAGCGACACTGTCAGCGGCAGCCCAGGTTCAACAGTACGTGACATTCTGCTTGACAAGCATCCCCAGCCTGCTGTACCTCCGGATGACGCTCTCTTGCAGGGGCATGACGCGGCTACCCCTCAAGATCCGATCCTTTTTGCCAGGCTCACAGGAGCGCTGATCAAGCAGATAAGTCGTCAAATGTCCGGAGCGGCCGGTCCATCGGGCCTGGACTCTGATGCGTGGAAACGCATGTTGACCTGCTTCGCTGCAGCGTCTGACCAGCTCTGTGCGGCAATGGCAGAAGCAGGAAAACGCTTATGCACCCAGGAAGTCCCACCAGAAGAGCTAAGTTCGTTCACTGCGGCCCGCCTCATCCCACTGGACAAGCAACCGGGGGTGCGCCCTATCGCTGTTGGGGAGGTTTTCCGGAGACTAATAGGCAAAGCTGTGATGAAGATAATTCAGTATGACGCCATGCACGCCACAGCCCCTCGTCAACTCTGTGTTGGTGTTCCGTCTGGGTGTGAAGCTGCCGTGCATACGATGACCGACATGCTTGTCTCGCCGGAGGTGGAGGGTGTGCTCTTGGTCGATGCCACCAACGCTTTCAACGCTATGAACCGCACAGCAGCCCTACACAACGTGCCACTCGTCTGCCCTGCCCTGGGGCAGGTGTTCAAGAACACCTACAGCAGTCCATGCCGCCTGTTTGTGTCGGGTGGTGGAGAGATAAGGAGTCAGGAGGGTACCTGCCAAGGTGATCCTCTCGCCATGGCGATATACGCGGTCGCCATGATGCCATTGATAGACAAGCTGTCAGAGTGCTGCCCCGACGTGGTGCAGCTATGGTATGCTGATGACGATGCTGGTGGCGGACAGCTCCTCAATCTAAGGCAGTACTGGGATGGGATTCTGGAGCATGGCCCTGGGTATGGGTACTACCCTAACGCGAACAAGACAACACTAATTGTCAAGGAGCAGCATTCGGCCCTGGCACTCCAGCTTTTCAGGGACACGGGCATTCGTGTTGTGACCGAGGGTGCTCGTTATCTTGGCGGCGCACTCGGTACAACGGTCTTCTGTGAGGAGTATATCACAGATTTGATCGACAAGTGGACGCTGCAGGTTGATCGCCTGGCGGAGGTGGCCACCACTCAGCCACATGCTGCGTACGAGGTGTTTGTAAAGGGCCTCGTGTCCAAGTGGCGGTACCACTTGCGCGTCCTATCTTGCCCTGCGCATCTTCTGGCCCGTCTCGACGCCGCCATTACGGACAAGCTGCTGCCAGCGCTCAGCGGCCATTCGTGTTCGGACGAGTCGGCACTGAGAAAGTTGCTATCGCTACCAGCGCGGTTTGGTGGCATGGCAATCCCTGTGCCCTCGGTGGAGGCCGAGAAAGAGTTTTCTGCATCCAGACAGATTGTGGCTCCTGTGGCGGCCTGCATAAGACCACCAGAACATCCAACAAGCACCAACGAAACTACTCAAACAGACCAGCTGAACGAGGCAATAGCCCTCAGCCGGCAGGAGGCCGGGCGTATTCGCAGAGAGAAAGCTGCCCAAGCCACGGGTCTCGTTAGCGAATTGCGCCCGGATTTGACAGCAACACAGGCGCTGTTGGTGGAGAATGCCGCGGAAAAGGGCGTATCATCTTGGGTAACGGCGGAACCATCGTCCCAAATGCAGATGGTGCTGAACAAATCGGATTTTCGAGATGCGTTCTGCATCCGCTACGGCCTGCAGCCTGACGGACTCCCCCTGACTTGTGTATGTGGTGCTGCAAACACAATAGACCATGCGATGATGTGTCCGGCAGGGGGCTACCCCATGGCACGCCACAATGAGATCCGGGACTTGTTGGCTGACGTGATGCGTGAGGCGGTCCGGGATGTGGAGGTAGA